TCAGAGACAGAAGAAGAGATTGCATTTATACCCTGCCCTTCACTACCCAAAGGAGTCTCAGAGTGGTTTACAATCCCTTTCCCTTCCCCTTCCCACGACAGACACCCGGTGAGGTAGGTGGGGCTGAGAGAGCTCTCCCGAGAACTGCCCTTGAGAGAACAGCTCTGAGGGAACTTGTGATTGACCCAAGGCCACACCAGCAACTTCATGTGGAGGACTGGGGAGTCAAACCCGGTTCTCCCAGATTAGAGTCTGCGCTCAGGACTGAGGAGTCAAACCCGGTTCTCCCAGATTAGAGTCTGCACTCCTAACCACTCTACCAAATAGCCATTTTCCTGGATTGTACCATTTCAGGGGGGGTATTTGAAAGTTCCTCTACTGGAAAGGGAGTGCTGCACCCAAAGTTGGGGGAAAGTGTTATTTATTTCTGCTGGTTGTCTAAGCATTAGGGATGCCACCCTCCAGGTGGGACCTGGGCATCCCCCGGAATTACAGCTCATCTCCAGACTACAGAGATCAGTTCCCCTGGAGAAAATGGATGCTTTGGAGGGTGGACTCTGTGGCATTGGACTCCACTGGGGTCCCTGCTCTCCCCGGGCTGCTCCACCCCCAAACGTCCTGGAGTTTCCCAACTTGGTTCTGGCTACCCCACCCCCCCATCCCCCAGCGGTGGCCAGGATGTGGGTTGGATGCTCAGCTGCAGCATCCTGAGGGCTTGTTTGAATGGTGGACGGTCCCTGCAGGTGGTGGAGAGGAAGCAGGAAGGCTCTCAGGTTGCAGTGCAGACTCTGGGTTGGGAAATTCCTGGAGATTTGGGGGGGTGGGGTCAGGGTAGGGTGGGGTTTGGGGGAAGGAGGGACCTCGCTAGAGTATAATGCCTTGGAGTCCATCCTCCAAAGCAGCCCTTTTCTCCAGGGGGACTGATCTCTGTAATCCGGACTCGGAGATCACCAGTAATTCCGGGAGATCTCCAGGAGACCTGGAGGATGGTAATCCTGAGGAAGCCCCCTTAAACCGCAGTCACACACGCTAAATAATCCACTTTCCATCCACTTTCAGTGCACTTTCGAATTGGATTCTGCCAGTTCACGCAGTAAGAATCCGGTCGGACAGTGCATTGAAAGAGGATCGAAAGTGGATCATTTAGCGTGTGTCAGGGCTTTTTTTGTAGAAAAAGCCCAGCAGGAACTTATTAGCACAATAGGCCACACCCAACAGCAGAAACCCATTAGCATATTAGGCCACACGCCCGACAGCACAGCTCGTTGGCATATTTGACCACACCCCTATGCCTTCCGTTGGCTTGCCCGGGCAAGCCGGCCCTTGGACAGGCCGGGGAAGGCCCGGGGAGGTATTTAAATGCCTCCCTGATCCTTCCAGGGGGGCCCTGCCCCCCGCCTTGGAGTGGCCGGGGGGAGGGGTCACTCTCCAGCCCTTCCCTCTGTAGCCACGCACAGAGGTTTTGGCTGTAGTGGGTGTGGCCAACTCTGAAGCCAGCCGGAACTCCATTCCTGTGCGTTCCTGCCCAAAAATAGCTCTGGCCTGTGTGACCGCAGCCTTGGTTTCTCACCTACTCAGCACACCAGCCCCATCTGGTTAGAACCGGATATGGAACAACTGATTGGTTTCGCATAGGAAAAGGAGTACGACAAGGATGTATATCGCCACCTTGCTTATTTAATATATATGCAGCGTACATCATGCGAAATGCTGGCCTGGATGAATCACAAGCGGGAATTAAGATTGCTGGGGAAAAGATCAACAACCTCAGATATGCAGACGATACCACTCTAATGGCAGAAAGTGAAGAGGACCTAAAAAGCCTCTTGCTCAGGGTAAAAGAGGAGAGCGCAAAAGTGGGCTTGAAGCTCAACATAAAAAAAACTAAGATCATGGCATCCGGCCCCATCACTCCTTGGCAAATAGAAGGGAAAGTCGTGGAAGTAGTGACAGACTTCACGTTCCTGGGATCCCAGATCACCGCAGACTGTGACAGCAGCCATGAAACTAAAAGACGCCTGCTCCTTGGGAGGAAAGCGATGGCAAACCTAAACAGCATGATAAAAAGTAGAGACATCACCCTGCCAACAAAAGTCTGCATGGTCAAAGCAATGGTATTCCCAGTAGTCATGTATGGCTGCGAGAGTTGGACTATAAGGAAGGCCGAGCGCTGAAGAATAGATTCTTTTGAACTATGGTGCTGGAGAAGACTCTTGAGAGTCCCTTGGACTGCAAGAAGATCAAATCAGTCAATCTTAAAAGATATCAACCCTGACTGTTCCCTGGAAGGCCAGATAATGAAACTGAAGCTCAAATACTTTGGCCACCCAATGAGAAGGGAGCACTCCCTGGAGAAGACCCTGATGCTGGGAAAGATTGAAGGTCAAAGAAGACGGGGACGGCAAAGGATGAGATGGTTAGACAGTGTCATAGATGCAACGAACATGAAGTTGAGCCAACTTCAGAGGACGGCGGAAGACCAGAAGGCCTGGCGTGATCTTGTCCATGGGGTCGCGAAGAGTCGGACTCGACTGTGCGACTGAACAACAACAACAACAAAAGAGAGATGATACATTCAGGTGGGTAGCCCTGATGGTCATGTCCGCATGCACATGAAAGCTTCTACCCAGAATTAAACTTTGTTGGTCTTAAAGGTGCCAGTGGACTCAAAAAGAGAGAAGGAGGCACTGGTTCAAATGATGGGGTGTAAGAACGATATCTAAAAACTAAAGCACTTTATGGATGGTCCCTAGGTTGACCTGGCTGCATTTTGTTGCCAACTGGTGCCATCTGCTGGATCATCTGAATGTTGCAGTGCGTGCTCCAAATCTGAGCAGGCCGTTCGCTACATTTTTCCAAATGTTCCACTTGCAATGTTGAACAGTATTCCTAGTTAAAGGTGTTATTAGATTTAGGAGTTTGTGGGTGTTTTGAGTAACATGAAGTACTGCGTTTGGGATCTTTATGCTTAACATCATTTTCTTAAAATACAGATAAATAAATAAATAAATAAATAAAATAATTCCTGAAAAAAGGGGAGGGGGTCATATCTGACATCAAAATTTGAAACAGCTTTCCGTTTCTGCTCCTGAAGAAAATCTGTCATAAAGTAAACTAAAAAAAACCCATGCTCTTCTCCACACCTGATCACCGTAGTAAATTCTCTGGCGTAACATTCGTCACAAGCTAAAATGAATCCAGGGGAGACGGGGACGATGCCTTTGGAACTCCAAATGCTGAACTAGCACAGATCCTCCTTTGGCGATGGTGTTCATTTTCCATTTGTGGAGCCATTTGGGAATGCGGCAACAGGCTGTTGATATTGTCAAATGTGCAGCAAGCTGCAAAAACCAAGCTTGGGAAGAAGGAGAAGGAGAAGGAGAAGGAGAAGGAGAAGGAGAAGGAGAAGGAGAAGGAGAAGGAGGAGGAGGAGGAGAAGAAGAAGAAGAAGAAGAAGAAGAAGAAGAAGAAGAAGAAGAAGAAGAAGAAGAAGAAGAAGAAGAAGAAGAAGAAGAAGAAGAAGAAGAAGAAGAAGAAGAGAAGGAGAAGGAGAAGGAGGAGGAGGAGGAGAAGAAGAAGAAGAAGAAGAAGAAGAAGAAGAAGAAGAAGAAGAAGAAGAAGAAGAAGAAGAAGAAGAAGAAGAAACAACCCCAGGACAGCTTGCACCTGAAGCCGATCAGGCACTGCCTGGCCCCAGCAGTACACCACCCAATTCTCTGCCACCTGTCGACCGGCTGAGGAATCAGAGACGCCAGGACTTGGCAACGAGACGCAAGGAGACACGCTTGCGCAGTCGGAGAACAATGAGCCCGGAGTTCTAGCAGAATCAAGGACTTCGCAAGGCAGTGCTAATGAGTTAACGACCCAGCACACTATTTGAACAGGTCACTGACTGCAGGCAAATCGTGCTGGCAAACTAGTCCTTCAGACCAGAAGCTCTGCACCTCTGACGCTGTTCCTAAGATCCCGTACTGACTGACTTCCCCGTTCCTGAATCTAGTCCGCGTTTTGACGACTCTCTGGCTCTTGATCCTCGGCTCTGCACCCTGACATTCCACGCTCTTCTCTGGACTCTGACCCTTGGTAACGCGTGTATTGGGACACTGGCTCTGCTGTTTTTGATCTTTCTGGCTTTGACTCACGGACTGAACTGTAAACTCTCCCTCTCTGCCCGGCCCCTGGCTCTGTCGTGACACTAAGCCAACCAGCCACAGCTTTCAACACCAGGTCTAGATCTTCTGGGTTAGAGTCAGACCGGCCACCCAACAATAGGTAGAGCTGAGTGTCATATTGGTGAACCCACAGCCCATGCCTCTGGGCAAGGGGGCGCATATAGCTGTTAAATAGCATCAGGGAGAGCTCTGCTCCCTGGGGCACTCCGCAAACTAGTGGGTGCCTTTGGGGAGGGGGCATTCTGTAGAAAAAGAGGTGCAGGAGCTCATTAGCATAACTCAGTGTAACTCATTTGCATATGCCACACCCCCTGACATCACCAGAAGTGTGTCAGAAGGCAACACCCACTGCTCAGGCTCTACTGGACTGTTTTGGATTGCTAGCTATTGTGGGGGAGGGAACGTGCAGATCTGCCCTCACAGAGGAGGGAGAGCTCTTACCTGAATAAAACTTGGTCTTAAAGGTGCCACCGGACTGTTTTGGACCGGGGGGGCTCTGCAACTTACCTGGCTGCTTCTTGCTCCTTGTGGCCTGGGGCTGCTGGGAGCAGGGGGTGGGGCTTGTTGCATGTGCTCGCCCCCTGGGCTCTTTACCGCCGGAGCTCCGCTCCTGTCCGCTCCTGCAGGAAATGACCCCTGCCTTCGGGACAGCTGCTCCCCAATGGCCACCCTCTGTCCCTGACTCTGAAGGAATGAGGGAAGCCACTGCGAGGCAAACCCTTGCATCCCAGTGTTGGCGAGGCGGTGGGTCAGTAGTTAGCAGTCGTTTGGAAAAGTTCTTGGGGGGAGCCTAGTTGTCCAGACTGAACCCGCTTTGTATTTTTCAAGGACTATGAGTACCCCCTTCATTCTCATGGTACGCCCTCCCAGAAGAATGACCGCTGCCCGCCTCCACCGCAGACGCTACCGGACCGGGCGTGCGAGGTGCCCGGATGTCGCTCAGATTCCGAGTGCGAGAGGCACAAACGTTGCTGCTACAATGGATGCATCTACGCCTGCTTAGACTCCGTGCCGCCACCCCCAGGTTGTTGTTATCAAAATTGTCGTGATTAAAAAATATTTGTATTTATTTTACTTATGTTACTTATAGTCTGCCTGTCTCACTTGGACCCCAGTGTCAGCTATGCTGCCATAAGGTTAAGGGGCCCCTCCTGGAACCCCTCCCTGTCCGGTGTACCAGCCTGAGCCGCATTCCTTTCCTTACGCTTCTCCTCTGCTTGTCTCTGACCTTGTAAGCTGCAGATATAGTGTCTCCACATAACTCATCCGTGAGACTGCTTTCGGTTCCCAGCTTTTCCTGATTCTCCAGAAAGCTGCACTTTTCTGACGACTGATCACTCCTGCAGTGTCGAGCCACTTTCCGTTTAAACCCCGTCCCCACACGAAAGCTGCCCGAGGCTTCCACTTTTCGCCCGCCTTTTTTTTTTTAATGCATTGGCGATGTGCGCATAGGTGTAGCTCTGCCACCACATTTAGAAAACTGATATTTAAATGGTCATTTGTTTTAGCGTTTAGATGAGTTCGGGATCTAACAGAGGCCATTTTCGGGTCAAACATTTAAACAGAAGTCTTTTGTTGGCGGGGTTGGATTGATTCGCCCTGGTGGTTCTGTGCATGCGCCATGATAGTTCCCCCCCTTCTATAGAGGGGTGCCTATGCGCATGTGCAAACTGAGGGGGGGGAATTTAAAAACCGCTGACACATGCTCCCGCGCGTCAGTAGTGTAGACACCGGGAAGCGACGTGACTGCGTGGTGAGGTGGGATAAGGGAGGTAAGTGTGATCGCAATTATCCAGATCAAATATAATCCGGTTAGAACTGGAGCAGTTTAACCCGCTCTCAGCACACCGTCTGACCGCACCCTTTATGATGCAAAAAAATAAATAAATAAGTAGGATCCTCATTTCAGCAAGCAATACAAAGTATAGAAGGAAAGGCAGGGCCGGCTCACTCACTAGGCGAACTAGGCGATCGCCTAGAGCAGGACGGCCCTTAGGGGCACCAAACTGCACCCGGCCCCGCACTCTGGGAGTTTCTTGATTATTTGTGTTTTTCATTCTTCCTAAAATGCATTTATTTTTGAAAAATGGTGGGCGCACGGGGTGGGGGCAGAAAGGATCCTTGCCTAGGGTGCAAAATAAGCTGGAGCCGGCCCTGAGGAGAGGCAGTAACTGTTCTTGGGGGTATGCCAGACAAAACGAAAAAAAGTCTTCACCTGCTGGCAAAGGACACTGACAGGGGGAGTTTGGGTGCCGCACAAGCGAGCTTTGCCAACCCTTCAGGCACTCTGGAGATTCCATTGGCTCAAGGGTCACTCTGCACAAGGAACTCCTGGCCAAGGTCAATGCCAGGCAAACCTGATTTTATATCCAGAAGCGCATTCCGGGGAGGGGGGGGGCAGTCTTGTGCATTGTCCTGAACCTAACTTTTAGAAACTCTGTCCAATCTATTAATGAATGTTTTTGTAGAGAGAGTTAATGAAGGAAGGTTATCCTTGGGACTCAGTTGATGCTGCGTATAAGACAAAAGGCAGGAAATGTCCACACAAAAGGAGTCACAGCATGTGGGACTCCATGTCACATGATGGGGTTCCCTGGCTGCTACCAGAAATGATTAGAGTAGGGCTGCCAAATCGGGCCGGGGGGCGGGGACACCCCCGCCTTGGAGGCCCGATTTCCATTGCAGCGGAATCGGGCCCCGGGGAAAACCCCACCCCCGCATGCACGTCACAGGGAAGTGACGTCATGACGCCAGGCACGCTGGGGTCGGGCCACAGCCATTTGAGGGGAAAACTCTATCGAGTTTTCCCCTCAAATGGCTGTGGCCCCGCCCCCAGCGTGCCCGGCGTCATGACGTCACTTCCCTGTGACGTGCATGCGGCACCGGGAGCCGGGCTGGAGTCCCCCGCCACAAGGGTAAGTGCCATTTGGCAACCCTAGATTGGAGAAACATATAACAGAACATCAAATTGCATGTGTCGTCGATTCAACCCAGATTTCCTGTTTCCTGTATTCCCTTTGTCCATCTTTTCTGTGGTTTCTTTGCAGTTTTGGATTGGCTGGTACAGCCCAAACCACGTTGGCTGGGTGGGAATGGCTGGCTACTCGATGGACCAGAAGAAGTCTTGCAAGGTACGTTGCAGTCAGAAATACACGTGGATTCTTTGGAAGGTCCAAGCAAATGATTAACTGCCACTAATCAATGTTCCCTCTAAGCTGTGGAGTCTAGTGAGCAAAAATTCTACTTTCTGAGCTACTGGCATTAAAGTTGTGAGCGAGCAATTTGGCGACTGCATAGATCAGTTTGCTCTGCAGCCCTCCTTCCTGAGCAAAGACAAAAATCTGCGAGCTGGAGGCTAAAGAACTGTGAGCCAGCTCACACTAACTCATCTTAGAGGGAATACTGGCCACTATATAAAGGACAGCCGGTGTGGAGCAGTGGTTAGTCAGTGAGGTAGGTTTAGCAGTCCAAGTGACTGAAGGACAGGGGTTCCGGGCAGTGCCTGGCAACCCAGTAGGTGGGTTATGGTTGGGGACAATGCCCTGGGAGAAAAATTAATAAGAAAAATAAGCCCTTGTTACAGGAAGTTCTAACCACAGAGATCTTGGAGATTCCTACAGCTACCCGGAAGTGACAAGGATAGTTCTAGCAACTGACAGAAACTCTGTGGTGAGACTGACCATTGCCAGGAACTCCAGGGTAAAGTTACCACAGAGTTTCTGGTGATTGCTAGAGCGGCCCTCGATGCTTCCGGGTAGCTCTAGGAATCACTGGGATCTCTATGGTCAGACCTTCCTGCAAAGTAGACTAGGCCTTGTTTTTCTGTCTAATTATTCTTCCCAGGATGATTGCGTCCCCCTATTGGCCGCAGTTTCCACCTGCCAATCAGCCGAGCATCGGCAGGCAAGGGCTGCGATTGGCTGGAGATGTACCGCTATAAGCTGGCCAATGGGAACCCCCGACTGTACACTTGAGACATTTGTGGGAGTCAGGACTGCACTGCAGTGTGATGTTTGTGTTGCAGCCGAGGCCTGTAGCACCACTGAGGACGGCGAAGAGCCCCTGCACTGTCCGACGGGATACGAATGCCACATCATCAACCCTGGCAATGCCGCCGAGGGCATCCCCAACAGAGGGCAGTGTATCAGGCAACGGGGGAATTCAGGTACTTTTGCCGGTGTGTGGGAGCGGATGCATTTTGCTTTTTCGGCTGGGTCTGGGTTCAACGCTGGGCCAGGGCCTGCGGTTGCCAACCGCAGGCCAGGAGATTCCTGGAGATTTGGTGTTGGAGCCTGGATTGTGGGGGGGGGGACCTCAACAGGATGTAATGCCATAGAGTTCCCCCTCTAAAGAAGTTTTTCCATGCGGTGTAAAGGAAGTTAGCTACATCAGTTCCTCTTAGAGTTCCCAACTTCCAGGTGGAAGGGTCGTGGAGATCTCCCAGAATGACTACTTATCTCCAGACAAAAGAAGAAGAAGGAGGAGGAGGAGGAGGAGGAGGAG